GTCCAAACTGGAATCCCAGATCCAAAAAACCTCAGAACTTTGGAGCATTCATAGTCCAAATCCCCCCTCTGCCTTTTGCAAATGCCTCCTATCTTTAGAATGGGCCATTCCCTGAACTCCAGATCCAGACACGTTTCAAGATTAGGGTGTTAATAAGCTACATATGTGCTCTTTGCAATAAGATAAAGCTGACTGAGCTCTCTTAAGGCTAACTTTAAGCATAAGGTACGATGACAGTTGCTTAGAGTGCCACGTCTGAAGGAGTGACAGAGCAGTGCACAGAGCACCATGTTTGCTCATCTACAGACCAGCAAGAGCCAACATCTGCAAAACACAGGCAGGGGTTCTGACACTGACAGTGAGAGCCCTGGAAAGGGCTTATTTGGAAGATAGTTGGGGCACCAAAGACCACCGGTGGCTCTGAATCCCTCTGTGGCTAGTCGTGGTATGATCTGATGCAACCTCACCAGGGTGGCCAACAGAAAATGTCAAGCTGCAAATGCGTTAAGGCGGCTTGAATTCAGAAGAGTCCGGCACCTATGAGCAGGGTGGTGCAAACACTAGTTGGGAAAGGACAATGGAGAAGCCGCCAGGAAAAAGTCAAAAACGGGACTGAAACTATTACACCATAGGAGAGGAGGAAAAAGAAGTAATGACTACAGGCATCTACTGGCCAAAACGCACTGTGGTGATGGAGTTCTGGAGCAATGGATAGTACTATAGGGCTCAGATTGCAACAGTGATTGAAAGTCTACTGGTGCTTTGGCTCGGGAAAAGGTTTCTGTCCCTTCTCAGCCCCTGTCCAAAACCCTGTCAGGATTTGAGCTCTAAAGAGGCAGAGACGCAAGACAAATAGGGATGTGCCAACTCAGCCTTCTGGCCAAACGTCAGACAGAGACCGAAAGCCTCACATGGGAGCCTGGTCTTGTGAGAGTATTCAGCCTGGTTTCTAGACCAAAGACGTTTTGACTAGACATAGAAGTGAAGCATTTTGAGTTTTGCCCATCACTAAAACCAGCAAAAATGGCAGTAGGAAGGTTGGTCTTGTAGCCATTACTTTTCTCCTCCACAAAGGCTAACACACTCTGAGTCTGGGCAGTGCCATGGGCTGGGAAAACTAAAGGAAGAGGAGCTGGAGCTGTGGCCGGGGTACCGCACCCCACCCAAAACAGCCCACATTTTGATGGAGTCATTTTGCAAGGCTAGCCCACAGGTTAGTCAAGGTCCCAAAATAGCCATTATTGGCTTACAAAATGTTACCATGTCCCACGCTTGCACCATAATGCGATGGCACACTCGTCCCCTGCTCGTACAGTTCTTCACGATGTATTTCCTGACATCATTATATGTAAGTTTGTCCCCGTTTGACTCATACAGATGGCAATGCTGACAAGCAGAGTGGAAATGGAGAGAGAAGTCTGTTTCCTGTTATCTATCGGTCGTGTGATAGCCCAGACAGCTGGGGAGGATAGGTCATTTTCTTGCCTTGTCTGGTTCCCCCGTCTGGCTCACTCTCTCTCTCTCTCCGCCTCTTCAGCTTGTTGATTTACGTTTTCACCAGTTGCATTGATGGGCATGAACCTGGTAGTCCGCTTGCAAACAACAGGCTAAACTCCCCATGAATGTAAATGCATAATTCCATAGATTTTTGCCTGATGCCTTCATAAGCAGCCATCAGTGTTGTATTTTGTTTCCCTCTTTATACATAAGTGAGAGAGGCCCAGAGAATTTTATATTATCCCTTTTGTATTTCATAACTCCCTCTGTGGTCACACTGTTCCTCCTCCTCCACCCTTTTAAAAATACATCTTCAACAGTAAATTAAAATCTTGTGAAATTTCACACATTCTGTCTTTCTCTTCGAGTCTACAGAGCAGAAATTGGAAGTGGCTCCCAACCAAGCTATGAAAACAAGATGACACTGAACACAGGCTAACTTCAGTTTTGCAAGCTTGGTGGGGGTGGTGGGGATCATTGGGACAGGGTGAAGCATAGAGACCTGCAAGCACTGGCTTGTCAAGGCTACCTTTTAAAAGGGTGGCTTTTAAGCAGGGGGGCTGTTGGGTTGGCTAGGAGAGCATTCTACATTCTGCCATTTATTTATTCAGACTTTTGGCCGTAGTGAATCTTTTCTTGAAGCATTTTAAAGTTGAAGACCTATTTCTCCTTGCCCGCAACCTCCTCTGTGAGCCAAGGTTTCCAGCAAAACGGCTCTGGCTCAATCTCGCCTGCTCTAAAAGCTCTCTGCATCCTATCCCCCATGCATAGTACTGAAGTTCTGCTTCTTTTCTTTCCTCCCGAGTGTTGTCCTCATACAACCCCAGTGAAATGTGAGTGTCTGCCCACTTAGCTTTATCATTGCATATCACAGCAAGACCGTATGTAGTATGTTTCTTACAGCAGCTTTGAAAAAGGGTTAACTAGAGAGATTTGAATTTTTGTATCTTCTTGTTACGCCTTTGGAACAAATGGGTGTGAAAAAGAGGGACAGGCAGATTCAGAGCTGGTTCAAAGGCAGTTCAGGCACCTTGTTTGATTGTGAAGCCAAATGGAACACAGTCAACAAACCTCCAAAGACACAGTGGTCCCTTCAGAAGCTCCTTACATCTCTATATCTGTATGTATTTCTGGGTGTGTGTCTAAATAAAGATACATAAAGATCACAGGGGTTTAAAGAACAGCATTCGTTTTAAATTTAACCCATTAAGGAAGTTGGCTGGAACCCAGGTACAGTCAATTTTTATCCATGTTCGGCTGTACTTCAAGTGTCCTTTGTACTGCAGGAGCAGTGTAAATGAGAATCAGGCCCTGTGCTGATAATGAAGTGGCTCATCTTGTCCAGCGAGGAAACTTTCTTCAAGCGCTTTATTGTGGGCAGGGAATGCTGAATGCTCTGTCGTCTTGTGCTGTCATCCAGTTGACTCTAGGGGTTGCGTTACGGGCAGTTATGTAATTCAGTCTCTGGACCTTTTTGTCTTTCAGCACTTGGTCACCCAAAAGTCAGAGAGAGCTAAAATCCTAAAGATGCAATGTATTACTTCTTTAACCCTTTTAAAAAAAACAACAATCAGTTAAAAAAAAATACCAATCAGTTCACGCTAATCATCGAAGGGAGTGCAGTGGCTGAAAGCTTGAGTCACAGAGTCACGTAAGATCTGTATTTCAGAAGATTTTCTACCAGCATTAGCAAATTGCTCAGAAATGACACCATCATTAAGGCTAAAAGCCTTTCCTGTTATGAGCCCAATTTTCCAATCTCTTATGCAGAATAACCCACTTAGGAGGAGCATTTGGCTCTGAGAATTTCTTCTCTCTTCTATGGTTTAATACTGGTTATGCCATGTTGCGTTCGCCGTGTTGATCCCTTAATCCTGAATAGTAATTTGCATTAAGAATGTTCTCTTCTGTGGGGATTTCTGTGTGGTGAAAACTGCCTTGTGAGCATAAGCAACCTACAGATTTTCTTTTCTTTTTCCTGCTTTGCCTACCAGCTCATGGGGAGGTCAGTGCCATTAAAGTCTGTAGGGATACACGCTGTCCTGTAATTTCACTTTTGTAAAATGACACGTTTCCGATGGCTCGCAGTGATATGGACAGAACCATCCCTTGGGTAGGGTGAATCAGGGCGACCGCTCTGGGCCCCGCACTTCAGGGGACCCCGCAGGCTGCTGCAATTGGTCCCGGAAGACATAGGCATGGGAACTAGAATGTTGCTGTCAGCTTGTTAAATAAATGCTGAATGAGAGCTTGCATGTATTAATTGCAAAATAAATAAAGGTAACAATTGAGGTTTCTGATTTAAAATGTCCTTGTCAATGTGTGTTTAGAGTTCTCACAGCCCCATTGCAGATGCTGACCCATTATATTGAGCATATGGCATAGGAGCTGCAATGTCCCCAGGACAGCAAGTCTGAGACAAAGTTGGTTTAGGAATCATAGGGCTTGAGTCTGTGGCCTTCCTTCGACAAAAAGCCTGTTGAACTCACTAAATGGTGAGTCTCCTTGCTCTTGTGGGTTTAACTGAAAACCACCACATTGTTTTATAATGAGCTTCTTGCTTAATTTCCTCCTCTTTGGTATAGTATTGGCTTCTCCTCCTCCTCCTCCATTCTCTTGAATTGGGAATTCACCTAGAAGAGTGGTTTCCAAACTTTTTAGGCTGGGAACGTCTTTCCAAATGATGTAGTCTCCTGCATACCCCCATCTGAGATAGCGTCATAATAGACCTATGACTAGGTTGCCAAGTCTGACAAAATAAAATGCTTTGTCCGCCATTACTGAATTTTTCTCGCGTAGCTCCTGATGAGAGCTTACGTACGTACCCCAGTCTGAAAACCATTGACGTGGAATAATAGCTTATAAACTGTCAGCATTCTAAACTGTTACTTTCCATGTGTCAGCTAGACTGTATTTTACCTTACCAGGGAGCAGAAGCTCTAACAAAATGTAGTTGTCAATGTATGACCAGCAATAATATGCAGTATGTATATATGGGGCAATGTTTTTAGGGTTAAACCTAACCCACTTCCCTGAGTTCCACCCCATGTCTGCATGACAACATTAGGATTATATCAGAGAAACTGTGTGTGTGTTGATGGCTTGTTTGTTTTAATTGCCCATGTGCCTGGCATATTTAATGATCACCTTATGCCACTGGCCAATCATTTGGCCCAGAGCTCCGATTTTCAGCGCCGACTGTTACACAGCTTGCAAATAAAAAGCCTTCACCTGGACATTGTGCGTCAGTCACCATCACGATGGAGTCACTTAACGCTGGCCACCAGCATGACCACCACCACCGTAGTTCCCTAGACCCATGTGTTACATAAATATTTTTGTTTAAAAATCAGTGGAGCCCTAAATGAAACAATGTGACAGGACTGGCACTGCAAATGCAATTAAATGAGCCATGTCGAATTGTTCAAGTTAGAAACAGATTTTAATTACAGTAGATTCAAAACAGGAACAATTTTTACTTGAGCAAATGTTTCTCGCTGCAGATCATCCTGTGGGGTCGAACCGAGAAGTGCCTTAAGGAAACCACAGAGGAGATTAGAAGGATGGGAACAGAGTGCCATTACTTCATTTGCGATGTGGGAAACCGAGAGGAAGTCTATCGGCAAGCCAAAGCTGTCCGGGAAAAGGTTGGTCTGTGTGGTGGATCCAGTGATGGGCAGAGCTTAGAAAATCCCCTAACCAATGGCAAGTGGGAAATGTTCTCTGGCGGCTTAGGAAGAAGGGCAGCTATACATTCTGCATCTGGCAAAGGCCTGGCCCTGTCCGTTTCTTGCTTTGATAGTAGGGAATAAAGGGCCTGATTCTCCAATGCCTTCTGACCTTGCTTTGACATTTATATCTGGGCAAAGAAGTTATGAAGTGCTACCAAATCAGAATTCTCTATCCACTCACACCAGGTGTCCATTTGACACCAATTTTGTACAGAGGAAATACTTGCACAAAGTGTAAAGACAGCAGGGAATAAGTCCTGGTAGGTCTTACGCTGGATCCTGACACTGTATCAAGAAGCTGAGTGTGGAAGGAGCTGTGAAAGAGCAAATATCCCACCACGGAGCCAGCCTCTCTTCTCTTGAAATATCTAGGTCAGTGGTTCTCAAACTTTAGTGTTGGTGACCCCTTTCACACAGCAAGCCTCTAAGTGTGACCCCCCTTATAAATTAAAAAAAAACTTTTTTACATTTAACACTATTATAAATGCTGGAAGCGAAGAGGGGTTTGGATTGGAGGCTGACAGCTCGTGACCCCCCCATGTAATAACGTCGCAACCCCCTGAGGGGGTCACAGTCCCCAGTTTGAGAACCCCTGATCTAGGTGATATTATAGGACTGAAACTGAATTATAAAATGCAAGTTATAATAATATATAAGAGAATCCTAATAATAGCCCAACAAAGGCAACTGGCTGTTGATTTGGGGGGAACTTCTTTTAACTATAGATCTATCGCTAGTCCTTCTCATGCTCCTGGCCGTCTTTCCAGCTGCCTTTCTCCTTTTGAGTGTCTCTTTGTAGGGACAAATGTTTTACACCACTTTGTCTTTGTTTCAAAACGGTGTAGAATTTCATTAGTAGCCAAACAACATGCTACGAAACTGCCTGGAAAGAAGAACCATGGAGAAGTCATTTGTGCAAATGTTAAGTACCTGTGCTTCAGCTACTTTAAGCTACCTGGGGTACGTTGTAGTCACCAGAAAGATTACAAAGCCCCGTGTGGCAGGAACTCAGAAGAGGCCATGGATTCACACTTCAGTAAAAGGACCAAAGTGACTGCTGTATTTGTGAAAAGAGATGTCCACTGTAACCAATCAGCTGCCCCCTTTTTCTTTTTGCAGGTGGGTGATATCACCATCCTAGTGAACAATGCTGCTGTCGTTCATGGTAAGAGCTTGATGGACAGCGATGACGACGCTCTACTCAAATCACAACACATAAATACCCTGGGACAGTTCTGGGTAAGATAAGCTCCTGTATCCAGCGTATTCAGACTTGGAAATGAGAGTGACAAATTACAGCCAGTAAACACTTGGCTGCTGCTAGACTTTTCCAAACGATGCTTGGTAAGATCAGCCTGACATGAAAACGAGCCAGGAAAAACAATGTGAAAGGCAAAGGCCAGAGGAGAGAAGTCTGAGGAAAAAATTGAGTTTGACAGATTCCCTCAAATTGATTTCAGTTACTTCTGCTAAAATACCATATTAAAGGCTTCCAGTAATTATAATGCCTCTGATGCTCTTTTAAACTCACCCTGTGACTTACAAGAAAAACTCTGATTTCCTTTGAGAAATCCCAGGCGCACAAAAGAGAGTTTCTCTGTTTGATGCACATCTGGAACATAAGCGAAACATGACCAGATGCATGGCTGCGTTGTTCAAGGAAGAGAGCTTGCATTAAACTCATTCAGTTTCTAATTAGATCCGTTAAAAACTAATGTACTTGTGTTGTTCCTCTCCATGTTGAAGTCTTTACCCTAAATAATGTGCATCTGAGCAGAACAGGGCATGATCTTTATTGCCTTTTATTTTGTGCACTGCTTAGGGTTGTGATAGCACAGATTTGGTTTTGTTCACGGGAATCAGGTTAACTGAGGCTTTTTGGAACCACTCACAGAGCAGCGAGGCTCCCTTCAGTATGAAGCGGGGCCTGAAGCATGGAGTTTGAATGTAATTACTCCGCATACCCCTGAACAACGGAAAGCACAATTGGGCCCTGCATCACTAGGCTTGTTTTCTTAGTGGCTATAATTCCTGTTGTGTCTCTCCTTTGTGAAGGTTTTTTTTTAGTTTCTCTCTCCGTTCCTTTACAGACCACCAAGGCCTTCCTGCCACGCATGCTGGAGCTGCAGAATGGGCACATTGTTTGCTTGAACTCTGTCTTGGCCTTGTCAGCCATCCCTGGTGCCATTGACTACTGCACCTCCAAAGCCTCTTCCTTTGCCTTTATGGAAAGCCTGACCTTGGGATTGCTGGACTGTCCTGGAGTGAATGCTACAACAGTCCTGCCATTCCACACCAGCACAGAGATGTTTCAGGGCATGAGAATAAGGTCAGTCCAGGGGAGATGGTGTAAATCATCTCACTGAAATTAATCAGCTGAACATGTTCGTTAATGCCTGGGGTTTTTTAAAGAGAATTTGATATCTGATCTGGCTGCCTGTGAGCAGAGGGGTCAGTCTAGGCCTCCTGGAGCCATCAGGCTGGTTCTTCTGATTTGCTGGTACACTCCTAACGTGTACAGTTCAATTTGTCCTTCCTATGGGAGGGTGTCTTCCAGGCAATTGTTTCTAGAGAGAAAATTAGAAGTGACTTTTGCACTGGGAGCCAGCTGTGGACATCAGAGCAGAGGAATCAAACTGATGTCTGAGGTTGTTCAAAGGGGCGAACAGTCTTACAAGTTGGGAATCCACACAACAAGTTCCTAGTTCCTTCTTTATTCCTGTTGAGGGGCTCAATCCTCCCCCACTGGAATGAATGGCGAAGAGTTTCACTGACAGCGGTGAGAAGGGCACTGGACCCTAGCCTGCTCCTACGAAAGTTAACGGTTTTCAAGGGGCTAATGACTAGCCAAAATTAACCCTTTACCAGTGGTGGACCCGTATCTCTTAATATGAATTGCTAACACAGTTTGTGCACCCTCCGCCGTGGTGAATGGTGCAATGTGACGTCGCCGTTGGGAGCTGGAAATCCATGTTCCTGGTATTAAGAGGCATGGGAGCATCTGGTTTTTGTCTTTCGCCTGCCAGTAATTTAATCCAAGAAAAAGGCAGGAGAGAGGAAGAGGAGGGAGCGGCCCCTGTTATGCCCTCTTATAAGATGCAGCATATGCTCCCCTCGGCCTTGATGCCAGCCCAGCTTTACTGGTTTGGGTAGTGAGTGATAGGACCAGGGTCTCATCCTCTCTCTGCTCCTCCCTGACAGTTTTGTGGGGTGGTTGAATGCTGGCAGCAGCTCGGAGAGCCCAAGGACTGGGATTGTACTGCACCCTAATTAGGTAATGAGTTTACTTCTTAATTTCTTCACTCAGGTTCCCCAATCTTTTCCCTCCACTGAAGCCAGAGACTGTGGCCAGGAGAACAGTAAAAGCTGTTCAGCTGAACCAAGCCTTCCTCCTCCTTCCGTGGACAATGCATGTACTTGTCATCTTGAAAAGGTAAATATTTCACTTCTCTGTGGCTGCCTGACCCACTCATTTTACCCTTTGGGCAGAGATGGGAGGCAACCCCGATTTCTGTCTGCTAAGCCAAATCTCATTTGACAGTTGCATGATACAGTAATTACCTAGGACCAGATTGTCCCCTCCCACAGAAGCCAGAGGGCATCAAGGATGGGGAGAAAACTTTGCACGGTTCCATTTGTAGAGTTGTCTTAAGTTTGTTACATCTGCGTATGTGCCCCCACCCCCCCCAATGAGGAAGCAGATCCAGCCCTCAAAACTCACAGATCCCTGAGATCTGTACTGACAATCTGTTTCCAGGAAATTTCTTACTTATTAACCCATTTATCTATTTGATTTTTTTATTTAGTAACCCCCTCTCCAGATTCTAGCAACTGTACAAAATGTATAAAATATACACCTTCTCATTTCTATTTGGAGACCACTCTTTCTGTAAAGCTATGAGAACATAAAAATGTAAACCAAAATTAATTATTTTTATGTGATCAATTTTTTAAGGGAACTTGAAACTGTGTGCAGAAAATGAACCCTAGTCTCTCTCACTGAAATAATTGAGGACAGCACATTTTAAATTTATTTTCTGTGAGCACTGAGACCAGAAACCATCTAAAAATAGAGCTCATCCAATCACAGAACTGAAACATTGCCATGTGACTTATGTCACCAATCGCAACTAAATGACACATCCCAGATTTCAGATAGGAAACCAAAAGTGAACAAAATTCTCAACATATGTTAAATACCTTTGAATACCAAATAAATCTGAGAAAACCTTGCTCCATTCGTGGACACTTTACAACCAGAAGAAGAATGGGCACCTGTCAAATATATTATTTGTTATGAATTATTCATTTAGCTTGTCAGCACAAAAGACAACAGGAAAAAAGCACTTCATTCAGACCAGGACCATGGGATGAAAAAAGTAAATACCTAAACAGATAGATAGGTATTCAAGATAAATATATAGATTGATTCTCAATATAAATTCTCAAGATTTATAACATTGAACAGAATCTTGCAATTTAAGAAATGTAGATAAGAACGGCCGTACTGGGTCAGACCAGGGTCCATCTAGCCCAGTGTCCTGTTTTCTGACAGTGGCCAATGCCAGGTGCCCCAGAGGGAATGAACAGAACAGGTCATCATCAAGTGATCCATCCCCTGTTGCCCATTCCCAGCTTCTGGGAAACAGAGGCTGGGAATGATGCCTTCTTACAGGTTACGTTGTTCTACCAGGGCCTGTTTAGTAAGCTCTCTCTTAGTAGGAAGAGACTCTATAGCACTTTCTCCCTTAGGGCCAGTCATTCCAGGTTCGGATCAACTTCAGATCCCACCGAAGTTGTTGGAAACACGCAGCTTGCAAGACTGGACCCTTGGTATTTCTGACGGAAAGATGACTGCCTCATGCCACATTGTGTGTGTGTGTGTGTGTTTGCGTCTTCTCATTTGAACAGATTAAAAAGTGTGTTTATTTTCTTTCTCTGCAGCATTCTCCCTCGGTCAGCACTTGAAGAAATCCACAAGTTTTCTGGAAGCTACACCTGTATGAACACGTTTAAAGGGCGAACATAGACCTGGTCATACTTAGAGGTCATAGTTCATTCTAAAATGAAGCCAACACAAGCAGCAAAATCCTGACAAGATTGTGAATCAACGGTCTTGGCTTTTAGCCTGCCTTGCTCGTGTGACTTGTGCTGCTGTCAGGCAACAAATTTCTTGCAGGGCATATCCATAGCAACACGACCTTTGCACAGGACCGCATGGCTAGACTGGACTTTTGGGAAGAACAACAAAAACGTTGAGATGTTTGTACAATGTTTAGTTCTTTAGAGTCTGATTCTTACATCCGCTCATAGTTTTATGATTTAATTGTCGTTTTAATTGTACCCTTAGGCTGCTCCAACCAGGGTGCAGCACATCCCTCCCCACTCTGCTCACAGAAACAGGAAGAGCAACTAGTGTTGATTTCAGATCAGCTTTTTGAATGAGAATTTAAAAAATGGCTTTGCAGGGTTACTAGCTAAGGGTGTTTATTGGGACCCCACTTTTTTTCCCCGCTCACTGCATTGGGTGGCTGTACTTTACAGCCATTGAAGCAGATTGTTCCGCTCATTCCTTCTGCATCTCTGGACAGGAGCAAATAGCTGGTCCGCTCAGGGGCCACTCAAGAAGCCTGAGTGTGGAAGGACAGCGCTAGCCATAGCAAGTCTTTATTGTTGCCTGTCCAAAGGCTGAAGTGGCAAGCTCAGAAAGAGGAGTGACTAGACATATTTCATGAGATGGACAATCTGAATAGTGGAAGGTCCCGCCTACCGCTGAAATCATATACAGAAAGTAATTGTCCTTCTGAATATTTTTGTTCATTTGTGGTGAAATATAATTTCCTTTTAGCAATAATCCCTAGATTTCCACTCATTTAGTCAGTGTTGGCTTGGGAACAAATTAACCTTAGGGCCTTCCTCGGCACACCCTTATTCATGCAAGCAGTCCTTACACCGAGAAATCCCATTGATCAACCCGCACAGAGAAGGAAATGGAATATGTTCCAAAAAGTAGAAGGATGATACGCATGGACATGAAATGTGAAGGTGGGAAGCGCAATGAGCAAAGGCCCGATGTAACCCCCATTGAAATCAATGGGGATCTTTCCAATGACTTATGTGAGAGTTGGATCAAGCCCTAAATGAGCCAAAAAGGGGAGGAAGCAGTGAGGTAGAATTCCCAACGAGACATTCATTTTTATTGTTCTTGTTATTTTTTTGTACAATACAGTTTCTTTAACAACCCAGTAAAGTACAGCTACACATCCCCATGACCGATCCATCGTGCAGCACTGGGCATACTACCACGTCCTAAACATAAGAGAACACAACCGAGAGAGGTATTAATCATAACTGCAGCAAAGCTTGGCCGCAGGTGTGATCGGCGAGCACCTCAAGAAAAGTGCTTTAAGGACAGTCTTGTGGCTAAAGCACTGGAGCGTGAGGTAGGATTCCTGCCTTCTGTTTGCAGCTCTGCCTCAGACTGCGTGTGTGACCCCCGGGGCAAGTCACTTCTCTCATTGTGCTTCAGCAAAGATTGTTGTGAGGCTCGGTTCCTTAATGTTTGTCAAGTGCTTTGCAGTCCTCAAATGGTGGGAGCAAAATGTTGTTTGCTTACAGTTGGAGAGGTTACTTGCAAAAATGTAAAGACGAGAGGAAGAATCCACATAATAAAACATCTGTTTCTAGAGGAGATCTGTGTTTCGTTGGAAAAGCTGGAAGTGGATCTGTGCATTTGGATACTCTCTTTGTTCTATTGTGTAGAATGGAGAGCAAAGAGCTAGACTTGGTGATACTTTTAAAATCTGACGGTCTGATCCCTGGCTGGTGTATATCCATATAGATTCATCAATGAATGGATTTTGCGAGCTCCACAACCTAAGGCAGTGGTGGGCAGCCCATGGGCCTCATGCGGGCCATGAGACATTTTGCTGATGTTCCCGGCCATTTGGAGCTGCGGGAAGCCCCACGGACATAAGGCCTTGTCTACATTTGAAATGTTAGTGGCACAGCTTGCACCACTGTAGCGCTTCTGTGTAGACACTGCCTACGCTGACAGGAAGGGTTCTCCTGTTGGTATAGTTAATCCACCTCCCCAAGAGGCAGTAGCTAGAATTCTTCCATCGAGCTAGCGCTGTCTACACCGGGGGTTACGCTGGGTTAACTACACTGCTCAGTGGGGTGGACTTAACTTTAAATTTAGTGTTGATCGGGCTTGAGAGGCCGATCCTGCAAAGAAATCGATCCATGCAGACTTTTTTGCCTACATAGGGTCCCAGAGAAGTCAGTAGGTCCCTTTGCAGGATCAGGGTCTGAGGGATCATTATTGCCATGATGGCATCCAACTTCCCTAGCTATTGGAGATTAACTGTGCTTTCCCCCTGAGGTCAGGATCACAAAGCTTAATTATGGCATCTGCTTTGAAAAGGCATCCTACAGTGGGGTTTTGTATTGATTCCCTAGATATCTGCAGCTCTGTGGAGAGATTGCAAAGGTGCATTTAGTCTCTGTGATTCTGCACCCCCAGTGCTCCCCCAGTGGGCTCTTGGAGGTTTATTTATTTTCTGAGAAGCAGGAGAATTTGGCAAGAGCTCTAGTTAGTTCACGAGAGAGCCCTTCCAGGGATCTGCCAGGAATACAAAGGTACCATCTGTATTGAGATCCATTTGGGGTGAGAGGGAACGCTGCCCTCCTCTCCCCATCTAATCCTGTATATTTTCTCATTATCCATGATCAGGCATGCCAGCCTTGCAGCTGTAAGAACAAACAGAATTGGTGGAAGAGGGCTTCCCTGCTGGGGACCCTTAAATTAAAACTTTGGTTTGAGGTTCCATTAATTAGTGACATGCCAATTCAAAGAGGCGGTAAAGAGGCATTCCCACAGAATATACCGAACCCCCCATCCCTGCTCCTTCTCTGTACACTGAGTGCTGTCTGTTTCTTTCTAATGAATATGAACGAGTCAAATGCCACCCGAGACTCACCCTTCCCCTCCCCGCACACACCCCCTTAGCTCTCCCCACCCCTCAGGGTCTCTGAGCGGACAGCAGGTCAAATAGCAGTCACAGTGGGGGAGAGGTATGCAGCAAACAGAAAATAACAAGGAAAACATTGGCGCTTCTCTTTAGAATTCGAGTTGGACAAGATCCCTCCCTCTGGTGCGAAGAGAAGGAATGTTTTGCGCCTTTATGAACTAGTGTCTTGCCTGGCTGGATACATTCTGAAGACTTTGTTTCACGGAGCGCCTCCTCTGGAATGCTGGTTGAGGTCTTCTGTCCCCTCAGACGTAAGGCGGGTAAGCTGGAGGCACGGCTCATGCAGGCATGCTTTGTAGAAGCCTTAAGGCTTTCTCAAAAGAATTTCCGCCCTTCCACTTATTTTAATTTTGGTTTTCCCTGCTCTCTCCACCCTTTTTTTAATCCCTATATCATTATTGCACATTTCAGTGCCACCATCTTGTAGCCAGATGTCAAACAGAGGGTCTGGAATAAATCTAAGACAGAGGTATATATTTATTAGCCTGTCGGAGAAGGAGTCAAGATGAGGCTGCAGGAACAGGCCGTCGAGGTCTCCTGTGAAATTAGCAAAACTTTTCAGGTTTTCTCGACTTATTCCAATGTGTGACCCAATAGAAAAGTACCCACAGTGCATTTTCTTCTTCCTGAGCAGGAGGCTGTTGCTGCCCCTCTTAGAACTAGATTGCTAGGAAAACTTTGGGACTTGTTCTGTCCTGACGTAAAGCCTGCAGGGTGCCTGGGGTTTAAGTGGGGGCATATGGCAGTGCTGTGTGTTGTCAGAGGCTGGTATTTGCACGTGGTAATTTGCAGAGGGGGCGGATGGGGGATGGGAGTACTCCCTTGCAAGTGAGGCCACTGATCCTCCCCACTTCACATTTTTTAATCATAGAATATCAGGGTTGGAAAGGACCTCAGGAGGTCTAGTCCAACCGCCTGCTCAAAGCAGGACCAACCCCCCAATTTGTGCCCCAAATGGCCCCCTCAAGGACTGAACTCACAACCCTGGGTTTAGCAGGCCAGTGCTCAAACCACTGAGCGATCCCTCCCCAAAATGAAAAGCCATGCCACTAAGTGCAACCTGGTGCACTTAGAAGCAAAAAAAATTGCCCTCTTCAGCTGTATCCTTTATGATGAGTCGGTTTAGAAGAATCCAGAGAAGAGAGTGAGCTCCCCTCGATGCAATGGAGTCCTGCACCCCCATTTCTTTCTTCAAGTTAAGCATTGGCGGAAACTATCCACATAGGCCTCCTCGGACTGTAGCGCCTGCCTGGGCAAGTGACTGCAGCATTTGCAAAGAAAAGCTTGTATACTTTTCTGTAATGTGTTAATCCATGTAGGTGGGAGTGATTCGATCTAGGTTTACAAGCCTTTCAGACTGCTCCCACCACCCCCACGTTCAGGTACTAACAGATCGTCCAACACTTGCCAAATCTCCAAAAGCAACAGGCCAAATTCAGACTCCGCCTAAGTGGGTGCTTTGTCTTTAGTGGGGACACACCTGTGGGAATTTGGCCCAATGTTATTTTTCTTTCATTGAAATCAAGCTGCTTTTCTGCCTGAAAAAAGGATAACAGGGCAGCCTTGCATCAGGCACTTTGTATTTTTTGGTTTCCTTGCATGCCAGCACTGGTTTTAATAAACTGATTCAAGGTGATAAATATTGTCACTCTTTGGCTGAGCCTGTCATAAACTTTTGGCGTCTGGCAAGATGCCAACGAGGGTAAACTCTTGTATTTTCGGCTGCCAGTGTCACCAAGCAAACAGCCGTGTCAAAAGTGATCTCTTTACAGCCACGTTCTCCATCGTGTGAAGACCCACAGGTCTGGGTATTTCAACCGCCTTGCAGCTGGGATTAGAGCCAGCACTATAAGTCACTGGCAGCAGGAAACGCCTTTCCCCCCTGAAGTTCCCTCCAGTTTTAGCTGCCTCCCCACTGTTGAGTTGTTCCCCAGGCCCTCTGTGCTACAGCGAAGCTCTCTCCGCTTTATCAAATTCCTGACTAATAATTCAGCTCTATAATGTGTCCATCTAACTCCCAGCTGTGTCCCAGGGCTGCTTGTGCCTTTTGGGGGGATTGTCCCCTCAGCGTCACATAGGGTTGTCACCTCCGAGATACAAAAACCCGGGACATCTGAACCGTTTTGTCTGGGAGAGCTACTCCAATCCTAGGAAAACCTGGACAAATGGCAACCCGAGCTTCGCTTCCCCTTTGACTGGCGCCTCTGCAGGCTTCAGGGAGTGAGGCAGGCCGAGAAAGGCACAAGGAAAGATCTGTCTCTCCTGTCTGGACACGGCCCAGATGCTGTCAACACCAGACAGTTCAGTAAGGGGCCTTTGGGCCCTGCTCCCTCCTCCTGCTGCTTCCCTCTCTATAACAAGCCCTCCCTCCCACTACACAATCCCTATTCATAGCCCGGCCTGCGACCTCCAGGGGAAACACAGCTCCATCTGCCCCACGTGGACCCCATACAATAGAAGGAGATAGAGCCTGGGGCACAGCCTTTCTTGAACCTCACAGTCCTTCCCTGAGAGAAGGACTGTTGGGAAGACAAGACACTAAGTCCAGTCTCTTTTGAGGGCGAGGAGCTCACTAGCCACTTGGCAGTATCTTTGGAGCAATGTCTGAGCCCCCAGCATGGAAGCAGGATCACAGGGACAAACTGCCAAAGGAGATGTAAATAAAGAAAATCATCACTGGTTTCCCCTACTCCCCTTCACTGAGTGCAGTGCTGATTTCTCTGAGTGCACACATGCTCTCACACACACAAGAGGAATCCCTCTTCCAAGGAGGAAGGCCAGCTATCCGAATCAGAGTTAAGGGATCACATAATATATATAATTAAAAAAAACAGACATAACCAATGATGGACTCTTTCAGGCAGATTAGGCAGTACTGTGAAACTAGGCGTACGTGGTCCGTTGCAGCCCTAGACAAGATATGACTATTTATCCTCCTTCATGTTCCCTGGGATGATATGATAAAAGATCTCCCGCCACACCTAAAGACCAGGAAAGTCTTGACTGTCACCCTCTTCCACTGTTGTGGTCACCTTCCCCTAAATATCAGCCTGTTACCTCCGGCAACCACTGTGGGCCACCACGTCCTAGTGGTCAGTTTACCGTTCCCAGCTGCAGGTTGCTGTGTCTCGAAGCCACCTCGACCTCCTTCCTGCAGCAGATGGCTGTGGTGTGATGTGGAAGAACAAACAGGAAGTAGGGGGCTTCTTGACCTACTGTTTACTTTTACTAGCCTCCTTGGTCTCCATTTTATAAGGCCGTATGGTGCCTCAATGCACTAGTCCAAATTCAACCTGGCATCACACCAAAGATGAACCTTGCTGTCTTCCATGATAGTTAGGGACTCCAATTTTTCTAACTGGGAGAACTACTTTACCTGAAAGTTTGGCCTCCTCACTGTACAGACCCTTTTCAGGCAGCCAGGGCCTGAAAGTTCTCAGTCAGCATAGCCTAACAACAGAAATAAATAAAAATAAAAGCATTACATGTTACTGGACACCCTCCACATGCTTTCACATGCAATGCTCATATGAATGGATGGTATTGCAAATATGATCCCTCTCAGGCTAAAAACCACATAGACTAAAGATTTTTCCCTGAAAAAGCTATTGGGACACAAATTTGTTTCATGCAGGTACATGGGACCTTTGTTA